ACACCCAGCAGATTACATCTTTATGTAGGGAATAAATTAAATCCTTACAACACCTTACAAAGGGAATTTCACAGCCACCCCATGGGGCTATGAGAACCCCCATTTCAGAGCAGGAAATGGTCAGCTTGCCTGTCTCAGGCCACATGAATTCCAGCTAAGTCCTGAGCTGGAACTGGAATGCAGGTCTGCCTCACCTGAGAAGCCTCGGATGTGTCTTACGTGGCCACAGCTCGGTTTAAGAAATAAAACATTACAGGCGGCTGAGATCTCTGCATTCCCTCTGCCGATCCTCCAGTCTCTCCCTTGCAACCTGGTCCTGAAGTCAGTGTTTATCATTTCATTCATGTCTGTATACTCGGCCGTATCCCATGATATGGTTTGAACCTTTTATAGTAAAGAAATCCTCCTCTGATAACTTGCTCTGTTCCTCAAAATTGTTTCTGGCATTTTCCTAAATTGACACATAGATCTCTAGTCCCTCTTTTTGTGGTTGGGGGTACTGAACCCGACATACTCCAGCCACTTTACCACTGAGCTGTGACCCTTGCCCTTCTGTCGCCATTTAGCAAAAGCTGTGACTCTGTTGATGGACCTTCAGGGTGCTCTGTTTCTTGCTATCACAGGTACTGCTGCGATGCCTGGTCTGCACATGTATCTTTCTGCACATGCGTGAGTTTCAGGAGAGCAGGCACCTGTGAATGGCCTTCCTGGGCTGCGGGCATTGTGCTCGTCAAGTCCTTTGTGCCATTTACCCTCCTGCCAGCAGCACACAAGAGTTTCTGCTGCTCAGTGCCCTCACCCACACTTGGTATTGCCAGATCTCATGTGTACCAGCCTGTGTGCTTTACACTGTGCTTAATAGCCTTTTGTGCTATTAAAAAAATACAACAAAAAACAATAGAATAGCTGCACGGCGAACCACAGGAAGGCTGTGTTCCGGGCGATCAAGTCCTCAGCTACGTCTGGAAGGTGGTTGGTAAGGCAAGCTGCACCATTGTTCATTCAAAACCTCCTGCCACCAAACATCGGAGGGAAAGCTGTGTAGCGAGAGAAGAATTTGGAGAGGCTTGCTGGCCAGCTCCGCTAACAACCTGCTTCAAGGCACCCTCCTTTCATCTTGATCTTGAAGGAATAAGTAGGGAGCCCGATCCCTAGGTTCGCCTGGGTGGTTACAGGTATAGCTGGCCTGGGGTCATTACTACCAGCACCTCCTTTGACTCTTCAGAGCATTCTGTTTGGAGAGATAATGTATACAAATATTTATCTGCTAAAGGCAGGGCAACTCAGGTCGATTTCTCATTTGCAGGCGCTCTGCTGTGGTTCGCGTGAATATGATCATGGACAAGAGAGCCGAGTTATGCAAATCCTAGGGGATGAGGTGCTATGGTTGCTGTGGCAACGAGGTTGAGGATGGAAGGAGGAGCCCTCGGAACCTTTCAGAGCAAGAGCGGACCACAGCCCAGAAGCCCTTCCCCTGAGACTCACCAAAGCCCTTTTCCATCCCTGTGGAGTCCCAGCCGTGCTTCTTGGTCTCTGCCCACGGGACAGCCAGCTCCGGGGCAGGACAACCTGGCGGTGTCCCCCTCCCAGGCTCCTCCAACTCAGACTCTCCAGGCCACCAGACAGAGCTCCCTGCCAGCGCTTTCAGGAGAAGGGTTCCTGGATGCGCTTTGTGAGTCGTGGCCAAGCTCTTATGACACCTCCTAGAACAACAAAGGGACCCTTTGTGGGCAACTGGCTCCAGCCAACAGTAGTGGCAGGACTCCCTCTGGCACATTCCTTTTTAGACAGCACCCCCATTCCTATTCATTCAGTCCAAGACAATCTGGGCTCTTACATAGATAATTGGGCCATTTGATCAACCTGAAGAGGTAGGTCAGAGCGGGCTCCCAACATCAAAACTTCCGGAGGAAACCACGGGAGGCCCGTGGGGGGACGGCTCAGCCTATCAGCGTCCAGTGGTTCCCTCCCAGCACTGTGCCACCTCTGAGTGAAAGCCTTCGTCTCAGTGGCATGCTCGAGGGACAGACGCTTATCCTTAGAAATAGGTGCACAAAGGATCTCCAGCTGAGCAGCCTCAGAAACCTAGGCTCCGGCTTTGAAGGGCGGACCCTGAAGGATTACTTCTGCCAGGGGAGTTTCCAGCCTTCCCTGGGGGTCACCACCTCCAGAACTCTTTGGTGAGCAGTCCCCACCCCATGGTGTCTGGAGCCTACTTCATCAGCTACAGGAAGAGAGAGAGAGAGAAAGAGAGAGAGAGAGACAGAGAGAGCGAGAGAAAAATGGGCACATATGTACAAACATCTGTCACAGCACAGTTGCTCTCCCAGGGACAGTGACACTACCTTCTTTGCGTACCCCCGTCATGCTCTAGGGCTTCGATGAAAGTGTGTTAAGGAAGCAGTCAGTTGTCTCCTAGAGGGGGTGAGTCGCAGCAGCAGACTAGGAACAGGGACTGAGCCCGTATTGTGAAGTCAGTGTGCTCTCTGCATCTTTGACTCTTCCAGATCCTGCTACTGTGCGTGGACTTCTTTCACGCTTGGGAAGGTAGCCAATTCCTGCAGCATGTCAGTTCCAGAAAGGAAGGCAGCTCCATGGTCTCTCCCGGGTCCTTTGCATGTCCCTCTGGCCATGGGGGGTTCACAGAGAGTAGCTCCCCCACTAGAGTGACAAGAAGGGCTCTGATTGGCTTAGCTTGGGCCTGTCCCGCCTCCCACAATTAGGGATCAGGTTGTGACTGGTGACCCTGCTGTGTGGAGTTGAGGAGCAGCAGTTCACCCAAAGGATGCAGGTGAGGAGGAGGAACTCTCCTGTGGGAAGATAAACGCAATCACTTTGCCAGGTGTGGTGGTGCACACCTGTAAATCTCAGCACCCACGCAGGCAGAGGCAGGAGGGTCGCTTTGAAGCCAGCCTGAACTATGCAGTGAGTTCAAGGCCAGCTTAAACTACACAGCAACACTCTGTCTAAAACAAACAAACAAACAATCGCCAGTGGGACTTACCAGCTAACAGCACATAAGCCCTGTTATTATCTTTTATCATTTTCCAGGTGAGGAAAACCAAGGTCTAGAAGAGTGGTACAGTTTGCTCTAGGTCACACTGATAGTGATAGGACATATGTTTGACCTGTCTGATTGCAGATCGCTATAGCTGCTGCCCCTGAGAGCAAGGATCACATATAACCGTTTAGGGGAATAACATCATGGTTAGGAGTTTGGGGACTGGCCAGAGGGTGATTGCAGTCCAACAGGCGAGAGAGGAAGGACTGTCTAGTACCAAGGCAACAGGAACACAGAAAACTAGATGGACAGTTAGAAACCAAGTCAGCAAGAAAAGAAATGTTGCAGAAACAAACAAATCGATCATGGTTGACAACAAACACGCTGCCCGAAGGAGAAAGGGGTCGCCACAGACATCTGTTTGGGGCACCTGGTGGCTGGGGCTGTCCAAGCTTCACTGATACGCAGGATGTAGGAGGGAGTGGGGTGCCGGTGGGCAGAGTATCACTTTGGACGGGCTAGGTTGGGGCTGCCCAGAGGAAGCCTGGATGGAGATGCCTAAGAGCCAGTGCTTATACAAGGCCTGGGGTGTGGGACAGAGCAGGTAATATAGCTGGTGTCCCCATGGAGACTGTGTAGTGTGAGACCCACAAAAGCCTGAGGACTTAGAGGAAGCCCTTGACAACTCTGAGGGAGGACATCAGAAAGGGCATCTCACTGGCTACTGTGTCATGTGCTTCCGTGTCCTCTTCCAGCCCGCCTGCTCTCCCACCTTGCCTTGTGCGAATGCGTCCCTCGGGATGGGTCGGGGTCCAGAACATCTCCACACGGCCCTGCCTGGCCTCCCAGCAGGGCTTTAAACCTCCCACTGTTTACCGGCACGGCACATACTCTATCCTGACAACTTGACCACACCGGTAATCGCTCTTTCCTCGCTACGCCGGAAGCCCTGTGAAGGCAGGGACCACGTCTATCTTGCTCGTTGCTGTAGAAGATGCAGACTCTCCCCTCCTGGCCCCTCCTTTGCACCATCTTTTCCAGGGCTGCCGATTTCCTTGGCCAGTTTCCAAGGCACGGATAGGGACAGAGTCACAGCGCACCAAAGCTCACCCACATAACTGTGGCCCTTCTTCACTTCGTTCGCTGGTGCCACTGGGTCAGTGGGGCAACCTAAGCCTGCTCTTGCTGCTGGCATCTTCTCTGTGCTGCTGCCTTTGCACAGAGTGCCAGGGCACTTGGCAGGGCTCCTCATTTGGGCCCACAGCCCTGCTAAGGCCTAGGTCTGGGCTGTGAGGCTGAAGCAGGTGCCCACCCTGCTCCAAACCAACTGCCCCAGGGGACTCACGCGTTTCCCGGAGCTGGTAGGAAGGGGCACTTTGGCTTGTCACGTGTTCTTACCCTCATGGCCCTTGGAACTCCACGGAAAGAGGGCTGACTGGAAGCTAAGGTTTGGCCAGTCCTGGGTCCCCTGGTCAGATCCCATGTATGAGAACTTTCACCTCATGTAATTCCTGCTCAGTGAATGCAGGGCAGAAGTGCACAAAGCAGTCCTAGTTTCTGCCCTTCGCTCATACCCGTGCCGGAGGATATGTCCCTGGGAGGATCTTGTTTGAGTTTGGTTTGGTGCAAATCCAGGACTTTGCTCTTGTGTACAAAATTTGCTCACTGTACCAAGTGACGGGCTATGTTTTGACAGTTCCTGGAGTTCACCCTGATGTACTTCGAAAGGCTCCTCTGTCGGTTGGCCAGCCGAGCCACGGTGTGAACCTACCTCACTAGGCACCTGGGTGAGCAAGAGCTGGAAGGTCTGACAGCCTGTTAGATACTCAGCATTTTCTGGGCCCATGAATGGCTCCAGATCTAACGGAAAGACCCTCACACTGCTGGTGTGCTGGTGTTCACCGCACCCTTCAAGGCAGGGATATTACCTTATTTCTCAAAGTGGGACACTGAAACTCAAACAAAGTCTGTCTTTCATCAGAGCGCCCAGCACCGCCATAATAATAGTTCAGGTTCATTGATAACAGTAAATGGAGCTGCCACTATTGAAGACCTACTATGTGCTAGGTACTCCACTGGGCTTTTACAGGTTTCTCTCCTTTAATCCCACTCAGTTGACCCCTGAGGCTTGTGTCATTGTTTCACAAAGGAGAAACCAGAGATTAGAGAGCAGAAGCCCTTGTTAGTGAGAGGTGGGTCGGGTTCTCCACCCTTCTGTCCCTGGAGCTCTCCCTCCCCCTGCTGTGCCTTCTGGTTGGCAGTGAGGAATCCTAGGGACCCCCGACAAGATTGACAAGCTGCGTGTGAGAAGTGAGAAGCTGTTAGGCCTGGCCCCAGGGTGGGAGTTTCAGAAAGCTGGAAGGAGCACCAGCCCCCTCCATACCGTGCGTGCTGGCGTGCAGGGCAGGTCCAGGTCCTGTGCCATTTCCGAGCTAGAAAGCAGCTAAATGAGTACCTGGGCATGTGCTGGGGACAAGAGAGAGAGAGACTGGGCCAGGCACTCAGGATGGCTGTGCCCCACCTGATCTGCCCTGCCCATGGATACAGGCAGGGCCTAGCAGAGGCCTGCAGCTCTTTAGAGGAAAAGGGAGCCCCCGGGGGGTTCCTTCAGCAACCCCAGTGGTTCCAAGTGAAACTCTCTAGGGCTCCTGCTACAGCAGCAGTATAGAAGGGGAAGGGAGGGGAGGAACCACAGGCTAGGCATTTCCCACAAGGCGCTGCTTTAGCAAGCGGGACTTGTGTCTCTGCTTGAGGCCTTACAACCCAGCGGGACTTCCTCTCACCCTCCTTAGCATGGTGGACAAAGCCTTCTTCAAGGTGGCCCCTCACTACTGGCCCCAGTGGCTCCTCCTGGACTCCCCATGTGTTTTATGAACCAGTGGTTCTCCCTTCTTTCCCTCCTCTGTCCCCCAACATTAGAACCACCTAAGGCACTTTAAACACTCCAGTCCTGGGTCCCTGCCCAGAGCAGAATCTGTAGGGATGGGCGTCCTTCCTGTTCACACCTCTTTAGGTGATCCCAGCACACTTGTAGGGCGGAGACCTGTTCCCTCTTCCGTCCTCTGCTGGCCTCAGCGCAGTGTCTACTTTGTGAGCGAGTCTTCGCTGTCCCACTCCCGGGACTGTCTTTGCTAGTTAGGTTGGACGGCCCTTCTTGTGTTCTTGTGGTACCCTGTGCATGCCTGTGGTGCTCGACAGTCCCCTGGCTTCCCTGTGACTGTGCTCTCCCTGGGGACAGGGGCCTTGTCTACGGGTTCATTATTGCATTCCTCCACCTAGCGCATGATAAGCGCTCAGTAAATGGGCTGAACTGTTAAACATCAAGTTAAAATCTGTCTTCCTAAAACTTTCCCTTAGCCCCTGGTATTCCCTCCTTCCTAATTAAACGTGAAAGCCCAAGTCTTGTCTGTTTCCTAACTTTCCCCACCTGGCTATCGGCATCAGTCCTTAATTAGCACCTCTGGATCCCTCTGGGTCTTCCCTGTCCTCCTGAGCAGGGCAGTGGCTCTCTGCTCCTGCAAACATCAGTGTTTCCTCAAATAGCTACTAGAAAAAGAAGCCTGGCTTCTGCACCAGAAGAGACAGACGGAACACGAGAGCGCTGCACAGGCAGGCTCAAAGGCTCTGAAGCGTTCCCCTCGCCGGGAGATGTTTAAAGCACCTCCGTCAAAGATCACAGAGGGGTTTAGTCAATACTCATCCATTTCCTCCTCCACCCTTCCTCAGGGGAAGCCAAAAACTGAGCTCTTGTTAGAGAGGATACCCGCCTCAGAACAGCTTCAAGAGAGTAGAGGGGATGATCCAAGTAGGATGGGAAGCAGATAAAGGCCAACAGAACTGCTAAGGGCCTCGCTCTGACCCAAACAATCCGAGGTAATTTGTGGAAGCAGCCATGGAGGAGGAGGAGGCCTGCACCTTCCTTACCGCCTTTGAATGAGTGGCTCAGAAGTGGGAACAGGGACCAGGAATCGCTGCTCCCACCAACTGCCCAGGGGCTGGAAGGAAGCCAGGCTGCTCGGCTCCTGGGGCTTGGGAAGGTGGCCGGGTACAAGGAAGCTGCAGCCATCTCCCCATCATCATGAGGAGTGTTGATGGGTGTCCTGCAGTGCTGGGGAGAGATAGCTGCTTTGAACCCAGGCGTACACAAATAGTCTTTGTGGGTCTCTGGCCCAATTGACTTTCTTTCTCTGAGCTCAGTTTCCTCATCTGAAAAGTGAGCGGTTAGGGACCAGCTAGAAAAGCCCCTTCCTTCCAACCTTTTGTCCTGGGTCTGATGTTAAAGCAGAGAAACAGAAAAGTCCAGAGGTGGTTGTGATTCAAGAGAAAGACGGGGCGTCTCTCCCAGGTGTGGTGATACACACCTGTCATCCCAGCTGTTCTGGAGGCCAACGCAGGAGGACCACAAGTTTGAGGCCAGCCTGGGCAGCTTAGCGAGATGCTGTCTCAAAATTAGAAAAAATAAAAAAGATTAGGGAAGTAGCTCAGTGGTAGAGCACTTGGCTAAGATGCACAAAGCCCTGGGTTCAGTCCCCGGTACAGGGAGGGGGACAACGAGAGTGAGAGAGAGAATAGGAGCTGAGTTTTGTGCACATCTCTCACGTGCACAGTGGTACCCAGGTTCTAGACCAGGGGTCCACGCACAAGGGGAGTAGTGAAAAGACAGCCCCTACATCTTACATGAGGCATCAGGTGAGGAAACTGAGGCTCTGAAAGTTTTACAAAGACTCATACAAGGTCATGAACTGACCACAATAGAAAGCTTTATCTAGTACAGAGATGACAGGCAGATTTAATTTCATGTGCCAGTTCTGAAAGGTCAGCAAGGACTGTCTGGTGTGTCTTGTGGGGGACAGAGTCCGTGATTGATTACTAATGTCTGCTGGAGGTGTGGGCGTAGAAGGTAGCTGCATGTGCGGCATGTTTGCCATGCCTACTGATTGGTTCAGTAAGTTGTTACTGAGGGGCTGCTTCGTGTAGGGTGTTTATCCTTCCTTGTTCTGAAAATTCAGTAGTAAATGAGTTCCTGACCTCAGGAAGCTTACATTCTAGAAGGGGTGACAATATACCTACAAACAAATGACTAGCTAATATGATCTCAGTTAGTGCTAAGAAGAATAAGGAAAATAAAATAGTGCAATGAGGTAGACAGAGATGGTGTGGGGAGCAGGGAGGAGATCGAGATTGTCAAGGAGGTGACCGAAATACTGAAAAGGAGACATTCTTGGGAAGAGCATCCAGAGACAGGGTACAGCAAGTACAGAAGCCCAAAGCAGGACCTCAGAGTCCTGGAGAGACCAGAATCAAGGGGGGGTGGTAAGGGACAGGGTGAGAAGAGGAGGGGGAGCAATGAGGAAGCCAGCTCTCTCCCCAGTGTGCCCCCCTGGATGCCCGATAGGCCCCCAAACTTCATAACCCCACCTCAAAATCCTCAGTCCCAGCCTCATCACCTAAGCACCCAACACCTAAATCTGCTCTTCCTCCGAAAGCCTTCCCTTCCTTTCTCTGTAAATGAGGGCATCCCCCACCCTACTGCCCAGACCTTGGGATGACAATTCCAACCACACCAACATCAACACTTGCCAGGGCCTCTTCGTCGATCTCCTCACTTTCACCCTTTTTGGAAGACCAAAAATCAATCCCACCATCCCTTTCTGTCCCCAGAGCTCTCTTCCTCCCAGTTTTATCCTTTTTGTAACTATCCCAACCCACAAACCAGGGACAGATGCTTTATTGTCCTTTTAAAAAAGAATCTAGAGTTGGTTGCAGCCACAGGAGTATGAAGCCCTAATTCAATTCACACACATTCCTCTAGTTGTCCAGAACTGACAGTGCTTGCAGAGTAGATCTGGGGACTGGGCATTCATTATCCTAGGGACCATTTATCAGGGCCATGCAGTGCTTCGGCCCATCACCCAACTTGGCAGCCAAAGCATCACAATTGCCCCGTGAGGGAGGTGTGATTATCGTCCTGTTTTCTTTCATGTGGCTACTTGGGCTCAGAAAGGTCAGCCTCTTACAAATCCCACAGCTGATGAATAGCTCAGCTTGATTTGGACTCAGATCCCTCTAATGTCAAAATCCAAGCTCTTGCTTTTGCATCAAGCTTTCTCCTAGACTCAGCTGAGCAAAGGATGATGGGATCAGAGAGATGCCTTGACCAAAGTTTGGATGTTTCTCTTTCATTCCAAAATCCAAGGTCAGAACCTTCTCCCTGGGTTTCTTGGGACCTCCTCAGCCAGGAAAGATGAGAGCATTTGGACCTTCTGCCCACCTAACCCCAAAGAAATGGAGGGATCTCAGCCCCTTACCTGGCCTGGCTTTCAGGCCCTGTCCCTCTTTCTGTCTCCCTCCCACATCCTCCCTGTGGCCAGGTGGTCACCCTCTTGCACCAGGCTGTCGGAGCAGCACCCACCTTCTCTCCAGCCCACTGGGCTCTTCTTGATCAGGAAGGATTCCCGTGGGAACCGTGGTGCCAACATCCGGTGAGGACAGGCCCTCCGTTACCTGCTAGCTCCACTGCCTCTGCTATCAGGACCAAGAACAAAGGAGCTTGGTGCCTGCCGCCTGGCTGGCTGTGTTTGTCCAGGGAGAGGCCCAGCCTGGCACAGATGCTGAGCAAACAGGAGTGCCGGCCTCACAGATCTGCCTTACAAGGAGCAGGGCTTTGGTTGAGACGTGCGTGCAGCTGCCAGGCCACCTGCTGAAATGTCACCCTGCTTACCCCAGCCAGCACTCCAGGGCAGGGGGCCCTCTAGGCCAAGCAGGCCCCTCTCTGCCTCAGGCTTTCCAGCTTGATAATTAGGAGTTGGATAAGATAATCTCTAAGATCTCTTCCTGGGTTAGAGCCCTAAGTGGTGTTTCTGGAAGTTTTAGGGCTTGAGAACTGGTCTGGGAGGCAGAAATGCCTAGGGTGTGGGGGTGGAACCAGGGAACTGCGTCACTCCCCTCCGTCAGCCCCACTCACCCACAAATGCCTCTGTCTCTGGCCAGAAAGACTGACCTCTTTCAGAGCAGTGCCCTTGAGCACTGAATTCATGACCTCTTCCACCTTTCTAGAGTTTTCAGGACTGGAGTCCTAGCATATTTCATGGTCAGAGGACTAAGTGTGCCCATCTTGTTTTTGAGGGCAAGATGTTTAGAATCTGACTCTCACTCTCCTGGCCCAGAAATTTAAGGGTATCTGGAGGAAGCTTCAAGGAACAATGGAGGGGATGATAGTGACTCTGGAATTTAGGGCTCAGGAGAAACAACTCCTTGTTAAAAATGCAGAATCCTAGCCAGGCTTGGTGACACACACCTGTAATCCCAGCACTCTGCAAGAGAATCGTAAGTTCAAACCCAACCCAGGCAAGTTAGTGAGTTAGGGAGCCCTGTCTCAAAAATTTAAAAAGGGTCAGGGCTGGAGAGGTAGCTCAGTGTGAAGGTCCTGGGCTCCATCCCCAGTACTGTAGGGAAAAAGTACAGACTCCTACGCTTTACACCCCAGAGATTTTAGAACCCAAGATCTAACATAGGGAAGCATAGCACAGGATTCTGAGGTTTTTAATAAGCACTAAGGGGTCCTTAGGTCTCTACTGAAGTAGAATGAGTGTGTCTAAAAAAAACACAGACCTGGGTTCAAGTCCCAGCCCTGCTTCTTTTTAGCTGTGTGACTTGGGGCAAGCCACCAAGTCCTTCTAGTTGTCAGTCGTATCTGTAAAACAAGGCTATTATCACCTACCTCTGAAAAAGCCCGAGCTATTGTTTCAGTGTTTATTGCACTTTGTAAATGTTTGTGGAGCGAATGGGGCGGAAGTCCATTTGCGCAAACTAGAAACGTGGTGTTCTCTTTGATGTTGGGGAGGGGGGCTGCTGCCACAGGCCACCTCGCTCCACTGCCCAGTCACAATTCCCAGTAAACTCTGTGTCCTAAATACATCTTCAACCTGCCTCTCTGTCCCTAGTCCAAGCCACCATCTCCCTCTCCTGACCTCTGGCTGTTCACCCCCCAGGACAGCCATGCTAATTCCATACTGCCCCGGCTTGCAGAAGGCCTTACCCTGAGTCCTGAGAAGGATCCTCTGGTCCTCTGCACCTCAGCCTCCTTGCAGCTCCTCTCAATCCAGCTACATCCAGCCATTCTGAACTTCTGCCAGAGACCTCCGGTGAATCCATTTCTCTTGCCTCTAGCTCTTTACACAAAGTGCCTGGTACAACCCCCCTCCCCACACGCATCCTTCACTTACTCCTCATCTTTCCTATTTTCACAGTTGTCATTTCCTCAGGGGCTGGACATTAGCGGTGCCCCTCTTTTGTGCTCTGAGAAACTCTGTTCTTCCTCCACAATGATGCCTATTACACTCTCCTGTGATGACGTAATACCTGCCTCCAACATTCAACCGGTTTCTGTAAAACACACCTCTGTCTTATCATAGCGCCAGCAGTGACTGGAGTCATTGACACATTGTGGGTACGCAAAAGAATTTATTGGATGAACGATTACAGGCACGGATGAATGAATAAATGAATGAATGAAAGATCAAGAAGGCCCGGGTCACCGGATCTCCGTGATGGGCACACACGTACTAATGCCAAAATTGAGCCTGGGGTCTGGACACACACGAAAAGACAGCCACAAGGGGGCATTTCGGGGCCCATGCAGGCCACAGGGGGGCGCCTTTGACTTGTTCTATCCGGTTGGCACCTCTCCGGACTCAAATTGGTTACTAATAGCCAATGGGCGGCAGGGGGCGGGGCTCTCCTTCTGATGGACAATATCGCCCCGCCCAATCTAATTCATCTTTTCGTTGGTCCCGCCTACACCCCCGGGGGTGGGGACCTGACGGAGGTGCCGCCAACCGAACCCCAGCTGAGCGCTCTGGAAGCCGAACCAGCTGGCCGGGCGGTCTGTGAGTGGGCGGCCGGCCTCTGGGGGCGGGACCGCAGCGTTGACAGGCAGGCGGGCGGTCCCGCCCCTCGCGCCCAGAGCGGCAGCGCCAGCTCCGGGGACAGCAGAAGTGAGTACGTGAGCGGCGCAGCAAGATCCCTGCTCGGACCCCGGACGGAGCGCGCACCCGGAGCCCCGGAGCCCTGTCGGACCCGCGGCGAACAGCTGGATTACTGTGCAGCGCGCACCAGGACTACCTGCGCCCTCCCGCTTCCCGGAGTCCTCGGCATCGAGCCACCCAGCGCCCCGGACCCTCCTGGACCGGTCCGTCCAGATTCCCGCGGAACCGACCTGCCCGCATCCCCCAGGATCCTCGGGCTCGGGGCGCCGCCTCGGTCCCGAAGCCGTCCGCGCAGATCGCACCCCCACTTCTCCCGGATCTCCTGGGACCGTACGCCAGCCTTCCCCGTGTCCGCCGAGCGGACCCTCTCTCGGGTGCCTGCAGCCTCGCCGGCGCGGCCCGGCGCGGCCC